AATATATATACTTTGTGGGGTCTGCCACGCCTCCTTCTGCCTGTTACATACATTTTAACAAAACCATTATACCCTGATTTCCCATTTTCAATGGGTTCAGGGTATAAAAATGACGCCACTCACCTCAAGTTCAATGTTAAAGACGGCACAACGTAGCAGCTATTGTTAAAAAAAGCGAAAAATTTGAAGAGCCTAGGGCTTGTGAGAAATCCTTCTAGATGATGCGATTTATGATGTCTAAATGAATGTGGAGCCGTTGCGAATGGCTGGCTAAGCTGCATAAACTGGGTCAACAGGCACTTGGCACTGGTTGTTGCATAAGCCAGAACCTTTTGGACCGGTTCAGCGGAGAGGACACCAGCCAAGGGCAGCGCAACCTTGATGCCCCGATAGGCCTACCTTTTGTCTGGCCACAAGTTGCAATCACCACCTGCATTAAGCCAAGCGACTAAGCGGCTGCCGTCTGTGAACCGGTTGCCCCCAACGAGTTGCAAGTGCCACAACGCCTGGCAACGAGCCCAAGTTTCGGCACTTCATTAATGAAGCTCCGACAAGCCACAGCCTTGACAGACCCAAAAAAAAAAAGGAGACTCGAATATTTATTGCATTGTAATCAGAAAGCGCGCACTGACCAGGCCTGGCTGGGCCAGGAAGCCGCAGATTGATCCGAGTGCGTGGAACAGGTTGTCCGGCTCGGCTCCCTCTGTGGGTTAACTGACTGCAGTTGACCTCCACAATTGGCGCTACATATTTCTTGCAGTGAATTTTCGTTTTATTTGCCGAACGCACGCTTTTTAATTAAAACTCTGCTGTTCAATTATGTTGAAAAATTGCAAATGCAACGCCTCTCTCTCTCTCACTCCCTCTCTCTCTACTGTCTGCTCTCTTTCTCTCTCTCTCTCTCTCGACAGAATTGGGTTACATGTGTCAAGCGTGCAGCCCCATAAAACACGCTTTGGGCCTATGTAGAACTGGGCCCGGCCAACTCGAAAATTGTTGTGCAATTAAAATCACATTTTGAGCCCGCAAACGTTTTTGTGAATGGCTTCACACAGAGACGACTGAACGAATGCGAGCTCGTTGTTTGGTGCGTGCCGCACCGTCCGGGCGGGTGTATCTGTGTGCGTGTGTGTGTGGGTTGGTCTCGGTATTTGCAAAATTTTATGGCCATAATGAAAGACATGGCAATAATGTAAAGCACATTTCAAGCACTTTAAACTCTTAACATTTATGGGCTGACAGTTGTTTTTGTTGTTGTTATTTTTTTTGAATAAAACTGTTACCGAATTGCGTATTCGCACAATGCTGTTGCCAGCCACAAGCTGTGGCGCGTGCGTCGCCAAAAAGTGCTGCCCATTTGTAGCATTAGAGCAGCTTAATTGTTCTGTTAAGCTCGACTGATTGCCGCAAAGGTGCTGCAAGAGGCATACTTCAAGCAGCTATACTTTTATATATTTTTAGTTAAGATAAACGTTTTACAATTTCATATTCTGCTCTTGACACTTGCAGTATTATATTTATAGCTCGTCTGTGGCATCAACGGAGGGAACTCCATTTCTCAAGTCTGCCCCAGTTAGTTAGTGCTGCCTATCACAGCCTATCAATTACAGTGAATAGTGCTGCCCATTTTTTTCATAGTAGTAATACAAGTGTTAACAAGTTAAATGCTGCCCATTTAGCTTTACCTATTCATTTCAAGCACTTTAAGATTTCCTCTCTCTTCTCCCCCTCAGGCTCAACAAATAAATCAACATTTAATTAAGCACTTACTGAACTATGCATAAAAATACTTAAGTACAGTTAGCTATCAGGTATTGCTATGTTACTGTTGGAATTTTTTATGCATTTATTAAATTCAATTCGCATTAAACAATTGTTTTAATGCCTCAATTAGGCTATTTATATTCTGTAGAAAAAAAAAACACAATTTCTATGCAACGGCAATTGTTAGCAGATAATAAATAAATGACAAGAGGACAAGTTCAATGCTAGCTAAAAATACAAATATAACAATTAAATTGGAATTAAATATACTTATAATTTAAAAAAAATATTGAACTTAGATTTAGATAGGTTTCCCATTATAATAATATATTTATGTAGTTTTTTTATCGGATGCATCGCCTTTAGATTTGCATTGTCCGTTTCCATTGCGTGACACATGCCACATGCAACTGTTGTTGTAACTGTTGCCACTGCTGTTGTTGTTGCATCGTGATTAATCTGCATATGCATAGAAGCTGGCCGTGCGGCCTTCTAAAAAATCGCGACATTAAATTATGCGCCTAGGCCTATTATTTTATGCAATTGATAAATTGACAAAACGGGCCGGCACAACATTTTGCTATGCCGCTCACTTTTCTAAACAATATTATTGTTGTTGTTGTTGGTGTTGCTGCTGCTGCCGTTGCTGCTGTTTTGCAGTGAAAATCCGCTCACAATGCGTGCCAAGTTTGTCAGCCAACACGCTCTCAACTTTCATACGTGAACTTTTCATAGCTGTTGTTGTAGTTGTTGTTGTTGTTATTGTTGTTTGTCTGTCTGTCATTCATTTTCAATGTCAAGGTTGCAATTGTGTGCATTTGTAATTAAAAATGTTTATAATGCATTTATTGACTTTCAATTAGCTGTAGATACAAAGCATCCTTGTAATCAAAAGGCACTTCGTATGGGTGTGTGAGTGTCTGTGTGTGTGTGTGTGTGTCTCTATTCTTAAGTTAGTTAGCTGATAATAAAACGGCAACACAAGTGGCACAATCAAATGAAAATTCATTAAGACTAAAATAAAATACAACAAAAATGAAAAGAACAAAAAATTTATCCAAAATATATTGAAGGCAATTTGTCGACGTTGTCAAGCTGCACTTGCCAATAATAAATTCTATTCGCAATGAGCTTTTTGCAGATATATACATATGCCTATATATATATATTCATTTATATATGTACATATAAAACATTGAACTCGCGTTGCAATTTGACAAATTGCAAGCAATATTCAAATTGGGATTTTGTGTCGTATTTTTAACTCGATTTTCTACCTTTTTTTTTGGAGGTGGAGTTGCAGCCGTCAAGGCTACGTGTGATACGCATAAATCATGGGCATGGACAAGTCATATATGTACTGTGCACCTTAATCATTTGCACAAATCACTTCAACAGACAAACTGACAAAATAGACCACATTTATGACGCATACGCCATGTGGCCCTAAAAAAACTAAATGGGATACACTATAACGGGAATTTGTTTATAATTAATTTGGATTTGCTTATCATTTGCTTAGCTATTGAAGCATTACTAAGTATGTGCACGGTTAGTTATGCTCATAATGACATTTTAATTGATGGCCTTAACTCAACAAGTGGAAATTGGAAATTTTATTTAGTTCTGCAATGGATATGAATCGCATTTGTTGCTACCTGTGCCTACTCTGGCTGCTGGGCATCGGCTTTACCGTAGAAGCAGCACGCGTGAGTATCCTAAGGATTCAATTACTAGGACACTACTGGCATTACGCTCTCTTCAACTCTGCAGCGTCTGCGGTATATGGTGCAGTTTCATGGCTTCGACTGCATCAATCGCTGGTCGATTGTCAAAAACTGGAGTTGCGTCATCGCCGAGGATGGCACTATCAACACGGAATTGACAGTGCTTGAGCCCATACCTGAGGTCTGGATCAATTGTAAGATGACCGTGTTGCGACCCCCAAATACTGAAATGGTTATCTTCAATACAACTTTGAATATCTGTAAACTGCTAAGCAGCGGCAGTACGGCTAACAGGCTAGTGACCTCTATCTATCAAACGATGCTGAAGGCGACCAATTTGGTGCCACAATGTCCCATTAGGAAGGTAAGTGCATCGAATGTATAGATCGTCTGCTGTAGAAAAGCTCATTCTTCTTCTATAGGGCCATCTGTATTTCCATAATATGGCTAGCTTGGAAAAATTGCCGGCTTTTATGCCAGAGATGGACTTTAAAACTTATATCAAATTCTTTAAGCCTAACTCCACAGAGAATTCAGAAGTTTTCTTGAACGGGAGTCTCATCGAAACTAATCGACTCCGTCAGAAGCTTGGGCATTGAATATATATGTTACATATGCATATACATATATATAGACATGTGAATATTTAAAAATATATAACCAAATTTTTAATTTCGTTTTAATCAATCATTGCTGATTCATTTGTTGAACTTGTTAATGCTTGACTTTATATAGTCACGCCAGTTAGAAGCAGCAGCAGCATCATCATCATCATCATCATTGGCTGACCTCAAATGTCAAATTCTGTTGCCAGTGAAATCGCAATTGTGTGCTTTTGTTTTGCTTTGCTAAGCAACCTTGGCCTTACATAGAATCGAAACGAAAACAAGCGTTTGATGACTTAACGTTAAATACAACTATATACATACATATGTATACATATTTATCGTATTGCTCGATTCACACAGATCTGTCATAATTCTAACGGCACTTTGTTAAAACAGCTGTTAATCAGCTCCACAGCTGCCGTCCCTAGACACCGCCCATTCACGAAGCTTAGCGGCTGACATTGCAATCCTATAAATAAAACACAAATCTAACGACAAACCAAACTTAATAAATACAATAGCAATAAAGAAAAAAAAAACAAATAATAGCCGTTAGTGCGGCCCGACCCCGTCTGGGGGTCTGTTAGATTAATTGCACATTGATTACAGACAATCGCAATGTCAACGAGCCGCGCTAAACGGAAATACAAAACGCTAATCGCGCACAAAACGCCAGAAAAACGCTTGCAAGTCGCGCGCGATCGCGTCAGACGCCTACAATTGAAGCAGCTAATACGGAAGTAGCTCAAGTTCGAGCATTTGTATGCCAGCACAAACGCGAGAGAAAGAGAAAGAGAGAGAACGAGCGCGCGTTCACTTGATAACCCAGCAGAACTTAGAAACGAAGAAAGCTGCCGTCAGCGATCACCCTTAAAGAGCAGCTCGTCACTGCACTTTTCACGCGCTCACTTTCAACTGGGTCTGCTCTAATTCCGCCAAAGGCGAAGGTGAAACACATTCCGTCACTCGTCAATATTTGAGCTGTTGTTGTTGTTGTGAGTAGTCCAGTTGAACCTAATGCACTTTGCAGCGGCGTCTGTACGGGGAAATCAGAATTATGTGAGCAGCTCACTGCTGTTTTCATGATGCACAGAATGCTCTTTGAATTGACTGGGTAAGTCAATTGCAGTTATTGGCGAAGGCGCTAGTCTCAGTGTGTGTGTGTTGTTGTTGCTAATATTACACAATTTACAGTAATTGAGTAGAAGCTGATAGCAGAGTGTTTGTCTTTCAGCATAATTGTGAACTTTGATGCTATTTATTTTTCATTTTGCACTTCGGATTGGTTTTTAGTTACTTAAGTGTTTCAATAAATACTTATAGGCTATGCGAAACGTGTGTAGCACACGCCTCTTTAGGTTAGCAACTAAAATACAACTTCAACGGATGTATGGAGGGAGCTAGGCGGGAAAATAAGAGTTGGGATAGAGTGACAGGAGGGGATGAGTGGGAGCGGTTTAATTAGCCGGCGGTCAACGACAGACAAAAGTAGTTTGGCCTCAAGAGTTGCGTCTACTGCACGCTAGGCGGCACACCGAACAACCCGAGGCGAGGCGGCCCAGCTTGGCCAGCAATATAGGAACACAATACTACAACTTGAGCTGGCGCTTGGCCAGCTGTTTCTGTTTCCGTTCGCGATGCAGCAGGAACTCGCGCCGTATATCGCTGGCGCGCATCTCCAGTATGCAGTTCAGTTTGTTGCGTATCTGCTCCGCCGTATGCACGTCCGTAACGAAGTCATAGTGCTTGAAACGAATGTTGGATATGGTGGTAACGCCGAACCGTGAACTGGAGTACATCCACGGGGAACGCGGACTGGCAGGTGAATAGACACCGTTCCCGCTCGTGATGCTCGTCATGCTGGGTGCCGAGGTGCAACTAGTGGGCAGGCTACTGGAAGAGTTAGCTTTTAGCCAAATGCGCAGCACCGCCCTCAACTGTCCCTGGTCCACAATCTCGCAGTGCGCCACCAAGTCAATGGGCGTCGACAGAGGCTTCCGATGCATAAAGAAATTGCTGTTCTTGTGCTGATCGATCTCAATGCGTTCCCCTGATACGGCCAGCGTCGCATCATACTTGAAGAAGCGTTTGCCGATGATGCTGACTCTATAAGTACGATGCATGGGTGCCTCCAGCATATCATTGTGATTAAGCAGGCGCTGCTCATACTCCTTCACATGATCCAGCGGACTGTCTCCTCCGCCCGCATCCGGCACATCGCCATTTAAATTGATGTTTTGCAGGGCATGCAGTGCACCATCCAACATCGCAGCCTTATCCTCTTCGGATGTCATGGACTTTGTGGCCAACTGATTGTGATAGTCAATGCGGGTGACTGGCGCCAAGGGTCTTCGCTCGGCCAGTGTCAAATGCGAGAAGCCAAACTTGGAGCAGGGCTCACGATTGTCTAACGGCGGGAAATCATCCATGTCATCGTTGTCCTCCGTCATATACAATGCATAGTGTTGCACAGATTGCAGCTGCACTGCATCTGGATACTGTAGGGTAGTCTTGTAGCAAACCAGGCCAATGACCTCTATGATCTTCGCCGTAGATAGCACACAGATCTTGAGCGGGTAGTTGCGCTCCGGCTCGGGCAGCATATTTACATAAACATTTATTCGCTTCGTGGGCATCCCCACCTGGGCGGTGCCATCGAAGCGCGCATACTCAATGAAACGATTCTGTGCCTGTTTCGGACTTCTGGCCAGCTGCTCCGACAGCTTACTCCTGACACCACCTTTGGGAACTTCATCCTCACTGACTGGTTCCTTTGAGTTCAATTTTGTGGGTTGTACTTTTGCCGCTGCCGCTGCCGCAGCCGCTGCAGCGGCGACTGATGTCGAGGGCTTATCAATTGGTTGTTCGTTAAGCACTTTTCGTTTGAAGAAATCTTTGCGATCCGGCGGGACCACTTCCTCATTGTAGTTGACGGTTTTAATTCGCGCCGCTTTGCGCTTGGCTATATCCAGTTTTTCGAGTTTCTGTGCTGTATTCGAGCGAAACCGATGGGCGCCCACTTCTGGATACATTTGTATGTCAAACGAATGCGTCGACATATCTAGATCCTCGTCATCGCTCAGATCGAGACCCGGGTAACAAACGAAATCGACCTCTTGCAGCGGCGGATCCGCTATTCGCGGTGGCATCATATGCTGCAGTGGCACAGTTCGTTGCATAGGCGTGGCAGTGTCTGGAGTTTTGGGAACCTGCGATTTACGCTGCTGCGCAGCCCGATGGTTGCGTCTATAGGCTTCCATAGCTGTGTTGGCAGTTTGAAATTTCCGCAAATAATGCTTGGGCATATCGTCGCTCAGCATTACGGTCTCGCATATTCCCGTATCATCTGTGGAGATGAATGAGTTGCGTATGTGCGAGAGGAGCCAGTGCGGATTGGAATACGTGGCCATTGCACTCGGTAACACGTCTCTTACTTCACAAAACAATACAAAATTCTTAGTTATCTCAGCATTTGTAGCTGCCAGGAGTTGTGTTCCTCTTAATTATTCTTCTTCTTGTTTGTTGCAAACCAACACTGTGGCCACCCCTAAAATTTAGCATAGCTACCACTGTTGTTAACAGTGGTAAGCCACTTTACTTGAATTTTGGCATATTTACATTTTTTGGTTTGAAATATAGATTTGGTAAATGCAATTAGTTAAAAAATTATCAAATTTATATTTTTAGGTTAAGTATTTATTTGAATTTGAAATAAAATTAGGAGAAAAATACATTGCAGCCGCGAGATGAGCTATAACATTCGTTAACTAACAGCTCTATAAAAGTTGTATCAGAACAGCTGATTAGGAGATGCATCCCTGTTAATGTATTTGTCAGGCATATTACACGGCGAAAGTTACGCCACATATGTATATGTATGTGTTATGGAGTTAACGTACGTTTGAATTTTTGTTTAATATATTGTATTACAATGCATATGTTGAATATAGAATATATTTATGAATTGTACATATTGTATTAATTTTATGATGCGACAAGAGGTTATGGCAGTCAAACGGAAGTTAATTATTTACTATTCTTTAGATTATGTTTTGATTACTTCTGTTTATATATGTAGATTGTATAAACTTACATCTTAATAAAAAATATGGTTATTTATACAAAAATTGTAATATTTTCTTACTTTGTACAATGTCGATATGTCGGATTTAATATCGATATATCTTCGATATATTTCAATATGCTCTATACCGATGGTACGATGTATTGATATGTAGCTCACATCGCTACTACCATATGACTTTTCTACAAGACGCGAAAAAATTACATATAATTTAGGGAATTCAAAGTAAGTTTTAGTACACTTGTACTCTATATGGATCTGTTATTTCCAATAAGTACGATTCAGGATTTAAAACCGCATCGGATCGATGTTGTAACAGCGCCCAAAATGGCGGGCATCCCGGTGGAATTCGATGAGACAGTAGTCAATCAGTTTAGCTGCAAACGTTGCGACCGCGTAAGTTTCCCTGCCATAGAGTTCACTTTAACACACTACCTACAAAATATATTCCTTTTGGCACGCCCGCAGACGTTTAAAAGTAAACGCGATCAAACGCTCCATCGCCAGGAGGTGCACAATCATAACAAAACTACCTACGAATGCAAACTGTGCGCCAAAAATTTCTGCAACAGCGGCAATCTGGATCGCCACATGAAGGTCCATAACGATGTGCGTCCCTTTGTATGTAACATATGCTCGAAGGCGTTTGCACAGGCAGTCAACCTGCAGCGACACTATGCCGTACACAGTGGCGAGCGTCCATATCAGTGCACCTTCTGCAATAAATCCTTTACCCAGCAAAGCAATATGAAACGCCACAAAATGACACACACGGGCGAGAAGCCGTTTCGATGCCAGCGCTGTGGCCGCTACTTCTCGCAATTGGTCAACCTCAAGAAGCACAAGCTGGGCCATTTGAATGCCAAACCGTATCAGTGCAACTATTGTGAGAAGGGCTTTACACAGCTCTCCAATTTCAAGCGTCATCTGCAGTCACACATAAAAGAGGGCGTCGATGTCGATGTGGCCGGTGCAATACAACAGGCAACGGCTCTAGCACGGGAGCGTCTAGAGGCCGAGCAGAAACCGTAAGAAAAATTGATCTCTGAGTAACCCGATCTAATCTTATTCTCTTGCCTTTGTAGTAGCTTCTTTGAATGCATGATTTGCCGTGCCATTTTCGAAACATTTGGCGACTATGAGAAGCATGAGGGCAAGTGCCATGTCGATCATGAACGCTCCCAGATAGAGGTTAATCAAATGTCGCATATGCATGCGGATGACTACTTGCCGATGAAGTTTTCGGTGCCCGATCTGGATACGCACGAGATCATTATTGAGACTACACATTAATGCTATATACCGATACCTACACCAACACCTACAAACACACCAATACACACACTCACAACACAAGGTCAAATACAGCCACACATAATTATAAATGCAATCAAGTGAGTGCAACCCCATATATATATATATCTATAAATATATATATGATAAATGCGACTGCTACGTTAATAAATATGCAGGCCAACATATTTCTTCTTCTTATAAATAAATGCAAGACATAAAAAATGGATACAACCAAATTGTTGCCTATAATATTCATTTCAACGTATTTTACAATCTTCAATTGCAATTGCATTTGGAAAGCAGTAAAACGCGAAATGTAACAAAAAATCATATGTGGAAATTTATTGACCCTAAAGATTAAGGATTTTATGGCTATATGATTTCCAGCAGTTGGCTTTGTCACGTGTCGCGAGTAAAAGACCTAAAAAGCGTAAGTTCGACTTGGCCATAAAATTGGTCAAATGTTTATATAGTCGTATACTTCGATCAATTTGGATTTTAATGCAAGTGCTAAATTAGCAAATTAAAAGAGCTTGGATAATAAGTAAGATGCGTGTACAGGTGTTGCTGACTTTATGGTGTATAGAAATCAAAGTTGATATCCTGTTTGTCATTGACCAGATCTAAAAGCTAATTAAGGACACGTACGTGTGTTTACGCAGGTTTCCTTATCAAGCTGCAATCTTTATTGCCCATGGATAGCATTCGCTGTGTCATTAATGTTCCTATGCTGCTTTTTCTTTTTCCTAGCGTAGGGTGCGTAAATCAAACTATAATGCCGTCACTTGCTTGGTTACGTTGTCGCCTCTGTGTGCGCTTGGCTTCTGTAATATTTCATGTGCGCTCCGAGCCGTTGGTTCATCTCTTTTTTGGTGCTGTCGTCGCATCGCCGCCTGTGCGTCGTGTGTGCGTTCAATTGGCATTCAGTTGCTTAAATAGCCGCCTTAATGTCCGTACCGACAAATGGGCCACATTAATTATATCAGAGCGCGACATTCGCTATAAATTTATTTATGAAACTGTTTGCTTGGCCACTTGACCGCAAAGAATTACGTTGCGTTCAAATGCCGCGACTTCGGTTTCAGTTTCACGCTTTCGCTTTAATTCACGCTCTCGGCAATGCGTAAAATTATTTCAGCTTCTCAAATTGAATGCAATGCATTCAAAATCAATATGAATATCTCATATGGCAATAACTTGCATCATTCCATAGCAGGTGGCGCTGCGTGCTTTATCCACGACAAATATTTGCCCAAGCATATTGTGTGGCAAAACGAAGGGGGATGGAGTGAGAGCGGCCGGGTGTGGATGGCTGGCGCAGCATGCAAATACACGTAATCAAAGTGGAATGCACAAACAGTTAGAGCAGGCAGTGCAGTGCGGCTCATGGTGACGTCATAGTTAATGCGCTGATGAGTTTTAACTTGGCGTGTTTAATTAACGCTGCAGACCCCAAGCACAAAACAAAATGGCGGCACAGGAAAGCGTTTTTAACATCGCGCCGGAAAGTAGGCAACACTTTTTTTATTGCCCCATGCGAAAGTTAAGCGAGCGCTGACAGAGGCTTGTGGGCGGTGATTTAATACTAGTTGTAATACTGCTTTTAATGGACGTGGAGGTTGCTGGAATTTATTATTAAATATATAATAAATATATAAAATATATGTAAACATATGGGTAGCCTTTAAACCAAGTTAACAATATTTATAGTTCGTTGATACGTTTAATATATACATGGATATTTTACAGTTTTATACATTTACCAAATTCCCGACTCCCACCCATGAAATACACCAAGCTACCATTGATAAGTCTCAACTCAGGTGTTCGCTGTCAACTCAATTTCAGACCGGACACTTGCATCTCCCTATTCAATTCAACTTTAGTTTTGCGGTTCGGCTGTCACACACATAACCAACGCCAAATTTATTCAATTAAAATCAGTTACGAACTGAACTGCTGCGGTTTCAGACAGCTAGTTTTTAGTTCCAGTCCCAATGCCCCCACCAATTGGATGGCGCAAATTTGATAGATGTTTCAGCCATTGACATTAGCGCTTATAGACACGCCCGCGAACACGCTCACGCGCGCTGCTTAAATTGATTTGGCCAAATGTTCTGTCATCATCATTATCAGCTCGCCCGGAAAAGTGGCAATGTCATTTCGGAAAACTGGCAGCGGCAGCACGCAACACTCGGCTAAAGAAGCGGCAGCAGCAGACAACGAAATGGGAGCCACAAAAGACAGACAGCACGAAGGGGGGGAGGCTTATGCGGCTGGGATTGTTGAAGCAGCTGTGGTTGCCATCATCGTTTTAGGTGTTAGTGGTTGCACATTATGGCCAACTTGTGTAGCTGCCAACAGCAGTTGGCCACATATGCCTCAGAGTCAACTAGCCGAAGGAATCAAATGCAGTTGCAGCTGCAGCTGCAATTGTTGCTGCTGTTGCTGTTGTTGTTGCAGCTCTGATTCTCGCTTTAATTTGTCATTAGAGCCACGCCAAAGTCGCTTAGCCGCAGCGTAATTGAGTTTTATGCTGCTGTTGTTGCCGTAAGCGAGCAAACAACACGAACAGGACTCGCAACGATAATTACGCATACGCACCATTGTGCGGCGCAGCACTAAAAGCAAACAGCGCAATAACGTTGCAAAAACTCATGAAATTGCAATCGAATTGAAAATCAACGATACATTTAAATATTTATATACTCCAGAATAAATATTATGTGTTTTTCGCACGGTCTGGCAAATTGACAAGCTGAATTTAAATAAACAGACAGATTTTTTTTTCATCGCATTCGCCAACATATACGCGCCTGTTTCATATGCATATGTGTGTGTCGGTGTGTGGGTGTGCTTTTGTGTGTTTGGACTATAATCCAAATGAAGTCATTGCCAAGCTGTCATGGAAACTGTTTTATGCCCTGTTGCCATAAAATTGTCAATATAGGGTATTATTATACCAATCGAAGGCAGCAGACAATCAAGAGCGACAACAGGGTATTCGAGTTGAGTTGGGTTCGATGAGATATTTACAGAGAGAATTGCTCTAAGCCTGGCTTATCTTTGAAATAGGTATGGTGTTCTAGGAGTACGAATTCAATTGATCTGTGAACGTGACACAGCCGTGTGTGGATAGGCCCATAAAAACGCCTACACACACACACACACACACACACGTATACGAATACATATGAAAACAGATGGTGTTTGTGTGGGAGCGGCATATGTAGATGGCTATTAAGCACGCAAGTCGCTTAAACTAACGCGTTGAATTCGCAGACAGCCGGCTAAAACAAGGCAGGTTAATTTGGAAAACGGTCTCGAAGTCGACTCGTTGACATTGTTGTCATTGCCCCCGCCCCCACTCCCGCCTCCACCAGTGAAGAGTGTCAGAACAGTAGCTGTAGCAGTCGTAACAGCAGTTGAGTTGTCAAGTGTTTGCTCGTTGATAAACAAACACAAACAAACACAGAGAGGGAACAATGCCAGCCGAAAGGTAATCAACCTGGCCTCTGCGGTGGTTATTGTTATACATAGATGTTTGGCTTTAGTTAACTTTTAAATGGGCCAAAATTATTGCCAAGGTAAGAGATGGGGAGCGTTCGGTTAGCCAAACAAGGCAATCAGTGTGCATGAGATAATCACATACAGTTTCCATTTCAGTTACAGTTTCTAGGGACATGCCTCCTGCCAAAAAGAAAAAAACTCGAGTTGGTCTTTTGTTCTTGTGCTTTGGCACAAAATGAAGATAAATGCTTGCCCAGAATTGCTCACAAGTTATGCTTAGATAACTAATGGATATGCCCGAGCGCCTAAATGCTCCCACACATTTTGAGTGGTTTCGGCTGAGAGCCATTGTTGTTGTTGGTGGCCCGGCCAGTTTAGTTTGACAGGTCTTTAAGCTGAGCTGGCCTCACCTCGCCGGGCCTGGCCTGGCCTCGTTACTGGAGCGCACTTAAAGCAACGTCAAGCTGTTGCCCTCAATATATCCAAATTACAAATGCAAATCAAACTGTCCGATCTGCTTGGTTCCGGCTCTCGACAGGATTTGCCTTTGGCTTCCAACATACTGTTTATAACATCTACATGCATACATATATATTTTGTATAGCTAAAGGGGCACGCCAGCATGTCAGAGTAATGTGCAAACTGTCAGGCATGCATAAATTACAGGGTGTGTTGCTGCTGGCGTTGCCGTCGCTGTTGCCGTTGCTGCAGCCACAGCAGTTATTAAATGCATTTCTGGTTGCAAATTTAAGCTTTAGCACATTCCCTCGCTTGGCTGCAGCGCACAAACCCAGCTGCATTTTATTAAATTGAATGAACAACAAAATATAAAAACAGAGCAAAGCAACAACCACAGCCGCAGCAACAGCAGCAACATCAGCAACGGCTGGTTAAATGCACTCTGAGTGCCTCTGTAATGTCCTCGACTGCGCTTCAAAGGAACCATTCCCGTTTGCCCTTTATTGTTGGACTCGTTTGTTAAATTAGAGCTGGACGCGTGCTTTGTGTTCAGCTAAATGAGACTCGGGCGGGCGTCGAATCGTATTCTTTTTAGCAAAATATCCTTAGCACATTCCGCGCGAATCAAAGCAAATTGTAAAATTTAATCAAAGGAAGTTTTAATTAGAATATTTTTTATTATTTTCATATTTTTATATAAAGTTAATTATGCTTAAAATAGATTTTATAAAGTGAGTACAAGAAAAAAAAATAAAAATATATAAATAAATTTGATTAAGTGAATATCAGATAACCACAAAAATTAAAATAATAAATAAATCATATATATTTCTATGGCTTCAGTAATATTAAGTATTTAACAGGAATAAAACGAAAAGTGTATAAATTTTATATATTAATTTGGATATATACAAAAAAGAATTAAATAAGAGCTTGAAGACAATATTAGACAATTTTAGTTACTATTCATAAGTGTAAACAATTTTATGGCAAGCTCCCACTCAAGTTGATCAGGTGGCAAGCAAAGATAAGAGAGAGTAAGCAGCCTTTCTGTCTCTGAGAATTCTCGATTCTATCAAGAGCAGACATTGCCATCGAGACCAC